ATAAAGTAGGAATGGAAATTTTATTAAAAAGTGTTTCACTCCGAGAAGTAGGCTGGTTTTGCAGAAGTTATTGCTAATAGCTATCAATCAGAGCCAAATTTTTTGGGTTACAGTGTTAATTCAAAAACTTGAATTAATTCATCTCAAAATTTCTGCTCATATTTTAGAAGTGTTTTATGTTTATTTATGTTATCTTTTACCCAAAATATTTCAAATGCACTATGCAATTTTTTTAATCCCAACTATTTCAACTTTACAATATTATATTAAACTCATTAATTTATCTCATGAATTATGATACTTATTTTTAAATCTAAACAACTTAAATGAGAATTACAATTCCATGAACATATTTTAAGGATTAAGCTAATAATATGGCTTTACAGTTTTATGGAAGGTCTTGTTAGATTTCGACATTTATTTAAGCCTCCAAAATATTTAGTGTTCGTATTTTATTGATTAACTAGACTCCAAAATTATTTATTAAACTTCTAAATTTATGTCGTTGTATACCATATTTATAATTGAATGTAAATAACTTAAATGAGAATTATAATTTCATGAATATTTTTGTTAATGCTTTAATAACATCTAATATTTAATTAATTTTTAAACAAATTATAACAGGTTTTATAGAAATCACAATCACTACTATATTATGTTACATTAAACTTAAACTCAATAATTTATCTGATGACTTATCATACTTAGAGTTAAATGTAAACAACTTTAATGAGAATTACAATTTTCTGATAAATTATTATACCTATTTTTAGAACTAAAACGAGTGCAACAAAGTTTCAGAGAGAAAATATATACAATTCTACTTCATAACTTGAACTTCTATAACTCGAATTTCTCTATAAATCAAATAAAAATATTGTCACGTGCCAATAGAAATGTGGAAAAGTGCATTCTATAAGTCGAATTTTTGTTTTTGGTATGAATCCATTCTGATGTTAGGGGAAGTCCTTTTTTTTAACCAAATATTTAATTTTTCTTATGTTGCTTCTTTGTACAAATGTCAGTCACTGGAGGCGTGGTTTAAAGTAAATACAATTTCCAACATGCTTTAATATTTATTTAATTAGACTCTCACTTTCTCACTCTTTCAATTAGCTCTCACTAAGCTATTTGAATATAAAGTTGCAGAGTAGCTTGTGGAGAATCTAAACCTATCGATAATTGGTTAAAATACTGTAAATTGGACGCTTTTCAATCGTATTCATTGAGCCTCGTGTCAGAGTCAATGCGACGGGACTTACTAGGAAAATGTTTTGGAAATTGTTTTAGAGCAGTCCGCACGCAAACATGAATTTTGGTCGTAGACCATGAAATTTCAACAAGACACGGCACTGTTTTTAAAGTTCATGTGAATTAAGAATGGTTAAAAAACTGTGTTTCACACTTCATTTCATCCATATAATGGCTTTCGAATTCGCCAGATGCAAATCCGATGGACGATTCCATCTGGGCTATTTTAAAGAGCAAGGTGAGAACTAAAAAAATATGCGAGTATGGATGCGCTGAAGAGAGCCATTGTTCAGGAATTGGTCAAAATACCGGAAGATCACATCCGTGAAGCACGCAACTCATTTTGTAACCGTTTGAAGGCCGTAGTGAAGGTGAAGGTAAAAGGTGGCCACATCGAGCTAGAGTAAATGGATTCTAAAATATTGATTATTTCCACAATTTTTTTTTTGGAAAAAGAATGTATGATCAAAAAAAAGGTTGTTGAAAGAGGGAAGAAAACTCTCTTTTTAAATTGTTTTCTTTTGAGCAGTAGAAATGTGGTTATCTTAATTTTTTGCCTTACCACAATGATAATAGTTCAATTATTATAACTAGTTTGCTGAACTACAAAAAAAGGTTGGTTAAAAAACTTTCTTTTTATACTTCACTGGGTCAGTGAATTCTGGCTACACAAGAAAAATGAGAAACAAAAGTCTCGTCGCCTTTAAGCATATCTGAGAAAACCTTGTGAATAAACATTACCAATGTTAAAAACTGACAGATCATCGGGTTAAAATAGAAAATAAAATACATTTTTAATTATATTTAAACCGACATATTAGAAAAGGCAAAATCATATCAGAAATTATAGTATCCTGTAGATGACTATAGAATATAGTCGAAATATTGAGTGAAATGAAATTTTTAAACAAAAATTAAGTTTGGTTTATAAGCTTGTTTTAATTTAAAGCACGGAAGTGCTTTAGTTAGTGTCACTTAAAAAGTAAAAAGTGACAAAAAAACCTAGAACTTGAGCATTAGAAGTTTGTGCTACCTGTGGAAAAACATGATTGTTTCTGCTTTCAGTTCTAAGCCTGGCACTTGCAGTCCAAACAAATTATATACGGAATATAAACTAGTTTACAAAATTCAAATATTTTCTAAGACCAATGATGATGAGTACTTGGCAATACTCGAAACAACGTTGTATGGTCAGCTAAATTTCAATAAATTAACTAAAAATTTTTGTTGTTGTCTTTTCATTTCTATTCGAATCCTTTCTTTTCGTTAAAAGGCGCGTCATTTCTGATAAAAAAAATTAAAATTAAATAAAAAAAATTTTAAAAGTGTATTATTTACCTACTGATCATTTAGCCCGTTTAATAACAAAATTATTATTCAGAATTAAAACAGTATATTATTATCAGAAACTAACATAAAAAATTTGTATTAAAAAGTTTAAATATATATATGAATAATAGTGTATATATTTTTACAATATTATACATGATTCTTACATTATATAATTATACTATTTTATATTATATTATATAAATTATATATATTATGTTATTATATTATATTATATCTTATATATTATATTACAGTCATGCATTGAAGGATATTAAGATTTTTTGATTTATTTACATTTACTTGATAGAATAATATAATTAACAAAAACTTTCTTTTTACAAAATAATATAAAATTATTTTAGTAATTAAAGAGAGATTTATAAAGTATACAAAAAGGGTTATTTGTCAATTAATTTAATTATAATAATTAAAAGGGTTCGTTGTTTTACACATAAAAGAAATGTGGGTTAAATTTTTACTCACCAAGAAATCTGAATTTTTTTCAAACAATTTTTTTTCGGCTTCTTGTTCAAAGTGTTTCTCTTTCTCTTTTTCTTTATCTTTAAATTTTTCTTTTGATTTTTTAGAGTTTAAACTTGAGTTTAGTTTATTTTCTGCTTTTTGCTGTAGTGAAAAGCGTTTAAAATATTTTTGAAAAGACTTAATACTATTGAGAGAAAGTTTTAAAAGTTTTTTATTTTCAATCAAAACTGAAATTAATTAAATTAAAGTATACTGAGGAAGGATATAAAAATTGGCAAGGACTGTAGGATGACTCAAAAAATTTCATTTTATAATTTAGTGGCCCATAGAATTCTTAATACATTTATATAAATCAATTTAATAATATACTTTTTTATAAAACTAATTTTAAACTAAATGGATTTGAGATAACAAACACAAATACACACAAAAACTAACATTTAATATGATGAGATTTTTTTTAGTTAACTAATTAAATACTAAAGAAATTAATTTAGGAAAGAAGTCGGAATGTATGAAAATTTTGAACTGCAAAATAAAAAGTTATTACTTTTAATACAGAAGCAAACCAATTGTTATTTGTAATTCAAACAAAACAGAAAATGAATGAGTTATTAATGTAAAATTTAAAATGAGCCAATACTTACTTGTACTAGATTGTGATCTTTCTGGAGACGTATTTGTGTCAATGTGCCAGCTAACAGCTCATCACAATTATGATTTATACCAACGGAGACTTCAATGAATTTCGCACCAAAAGTACAAGCCAGACATTTTCCATCTAAAATAAAGTAATAATATTAGATTATTTTATTTAAAGTATATATACAATTATTTTTTTATTATGTTTGCATAATTTTAAAGAAAAGAAATTTCGTATTATAGAACGAATATATGCCTATGAAATTTACTTATGGTATTCAACGTGTTTCTTAAGTATTACATTTTATCATAAAACATAATTAAAAAATCAACCAGAGCCTAAAGATATACAAAAAATTCAACATTTAGAGGGATTAAATAAATATTATGAAATTTTTATTATTAAAATTTTAAAAGAAAAATTGTTGGTTCACATCACAAATTTTGATAATTTTATAACTTGTATTCATCTTCCATGTACTTAGATAACTTTCATGTACCTCAATTAGCGATTTTTCGCCGTTTTGCTAACACACTCCTTGCAAGAACCCCAAATATAGAATAGTAAAGATTAAATCCATTTCGTTGAATTTTGATAATTTAATAGACCTTTCGTCTTTGCCAATGAACAGTTCCATAAACTGTTAAAGAAGCATATTCCGAAAAATCGGTTTCTTCTAGATGGTAAAATATTTTATGGTTTCTTTTTCCTGCAGATTTCCACAACTTCTACAATAAAGATTATAAAGAATGCGCAGTTTTTCTGTATCGGTTCCTGTACACTAATGACCAGAAAGCACTGCAGTGCTCACGCGATTTCTTTTGATGAGTTCTCAGGATCTAGTTTTATTATAGGTAGACCATGTTAACTTGGAAGTTGCATATGAGCACTCCTAATAAACATATTTGATTGCTACAAATGTAGACTTCTGGCCGTCAACGTAAAAAAAATATGCCCAGCACATAAAGGTTAAAGAAGAACTTATCATCTTCTGGTATCATCACATACGAAAGTAGCTTCAAATGGAATGAAATAAAATTTGCTCTAATCAAATTATGTGGCGCCTTAGATATTTTGACGAGGGGCGCTATCACAATTTATATAACCATTACTAATAAGAGTAGTTTAGTTGCAATAACACAACAGCAATGATGACAGATTACCGCACACAAGCGGATAAATGTAGTCAATAGATTAAATGAGGAAGAAAAAACAAATATATGAGCTTCATACCATGAACGTTCTCTTGACGAAATACCAAATTGGTTAGGCTTACCGAGAAGGCGAGAAGGCTTACCGCCGAGCATTTGTGTGATTTTTGTGGGTTGCAGTCTTACATTAGCTTAGGCTTTCGATTTCTTTACACCTTGTTAAAAAAAAATGTGGCATTCGGCTTAGTTCATCAACTAACAAGTCAGGTTATGGGTCTATAGTAGTATTACTGCTAAACACTATATCTATATGTTTCACATATGGAACTAATCTAAAGCTCTAATATAACCCAGAAATTTTTCAACCTTATTACCATTCGACACGAATTTTTATCTTATACAGTTAAACTTCTATAACTCCAACTTTTTTAATTCGAATTTTCTATAAGTCGAACCAAAAATAGTGCATCAAAGTTTTAGAGAGCAAATTATATACAATTTTGCTTCTATAACTCGAACTTCTATAACTCGAATTTCTCTATAACTCGAATTTCTCTATAACTCTATAACTTTCTCTATAATGACTATGAAAATATAGTCACGTGCCAATAGGAATATGGGAAAGTGCTAAGTAGATATAAGTAGTAGAATATAAGTAGAATTTCCATTTTAGTGTTAGGGAAAGTCCCTTTTTCCAAACCAAATGTTTAATTTTTTTTTTATATTGCTCTTTTGTGCAAATGCCATAACTTCTAATGCTGCTCTTAACGATTATATTGAGCTTGACAATGAAATTTGTACATCAAGATTTTCTACAGATGAGTATTATTGAGCATTACAGCTCTGAATTAGTGGATCTCACTCTAAGCGCCACGGAAAGTAATGAAGAGGGTTCGGTGTATGAAATTGTTTATCAGCATTCTAAGAATGAAGTAGAAGAATCATTTAAAATTTTGAATTTATATTTGGAAACGAATGATACTACAACTAATGATCACTATAAGAGTATGAATAAAGTGGAATTTCTTTTTACTGATAATAAGAAAATAATTGAACCCTAATTTTTGATTATTTCACTTCACTATTACTTTTAAGCTTTATTTGACTGCAAATAAATAAATATATTAAAATGTGATTCTAGTTTCTTTTCAAAAATAAAAAAAAAATTCTCTAACTCGAATCTTTTCTTTGCAAAATTGGGCTTCATGTTATGGAAGTTTTTGACTGTATACCTATTCTTATTTATTCAGAAAAATAATTTGGTTGATTTAACTAAATTTCAGGTTACAACATTCTTACTCGACGTATCATGTTGGTTTAATCATATCACATATTGGTTTGCATATCTTCATTACCACATGAGGTAAAATTGTTCTAATAAAATGATCAGGTCAATATAATTAGTATGTGGTTAGAGCATATTTTTCTGAGTGTACACAAACATTTATCATAAAATATTCGTACATTGTTGGTTAATCAATATGTTAGTTGTAATAAAACTGTGTAAAATACAATAGTGAACTAGCAATAAATAAAAAACCATTATCATGTGAGTTAGTCTGTAATATCGATAAAAAAATTTCTGATCTGATTCAACTAATTAATCAACACGCGAAACTATACAACTGACGGAGTAGATAGTGATAACAAATGAAAATTAATGCATTTGCTTCAACTTTAATCGCTAGTTACTTTCATTAGCCTTACGTTGTCTGCATTTAGCTCTTACTTAGTTAATAAAAGAAATCTACAGCAAATCAACCATTTTATATTGTAATTAAAACGCTTGCATTTAACGAGCAAATATCATGAAGTCGCATGCCTATGGCAATTTATCGCTGAATTAAATGGTCTTGCCACGTAATGGCAGCTGAATAATCATTAAATTTTAATTTGTGCAAAACCACGAATAAACCCACTGCCACAACCATAATAGCCGCAAAAACGAAATAATATTGTTTACAGGATTTTTTTAGTTACCCATGATCTAATCAATAAAAATGGCCACAGGTTTCGTTGAAATAAAGTCACCATTTTAATTGGTGTTGCATGCGCCCGCAAATGTCGCAAATGTCGCAAATGCCAAAAATTGTGTAAATACAAACTGTTTTGCATACTCGATGAGAGCTCGAAAATTTGCGGGATAAAAATTATTTTTTTATAAAAAAATAAAATTAGAAAGTAGTGAGTAGAAAGTAGAAAGTGAATTTACTTACCTTGTGCTGAAACTGCACGTGACCGCGCTAAATCAATTTTATTTGCGACGAGTATAATTGGTCGAGTGCGCAGCAAGTCCATATCCTGTAATCTCGACAAAATTTGCTTGGCACGCGTAAAAGATTCCTTATCGATGCATGAATAAACAACTAGGAAAGCATCTGCCTTCTCAAGTTCATCCTACAGAAAGAAAATGAAAAGTAGATGAAAATGAGTAAATAAATAAAAATAATAATGAAAAGTATGTAAATTAATTCAATATATTTTACAATGCTGAAAATAAATTATTGACACCGCGTGACACTACTCCAAGTAAGAATGGAAGAAGAAACACATCTAAATGAAGAAAAGATAATAAAATCAATTAAATTAAAATTATTATTTTAATTATCTTTATTCAACCATTTTTTAAAGTTATTTTCGAAAAGTAGGGAAGTACAATAACAAAAATTCTTTTTTAAATTATTTAATTAATTAAATTATTCGCTTGTTTCAAGTACAGAAATAAAACGACGAACGATTCCAGAAGAATCAGAAGGAAGACTTTAATGATGTTGTTTGGTTGATTGAGGTTAGTGCCTGTTGGTACCTTTACTCCCTTCTCTTTGTGAACATCTTAGTTATGTTCACTAGGTCAATCTGTGGTCTTCATTTTAATACTTTATCTTGTCCTTAAAGTATTAAACTTCTTAAGTCGGCGTACCTGCCATCTGTTCGATGATATCCTCTGAGTTTGGGTATATTTAAAGTTGGATTTCCGTGCTTATCCACCTTCTGAAATAGTTTCAATGCTTTGTCCTTTATATATTTCTTTACGGTTTTTATTTTCAGATCCTTATGTATATCCGTATTCCTGATATATGAGGGGATGTTGAGTATACGTCTAAGTGCCAAATTTTGTGCTATTTGTAGCTGCGCTTTACTACTTTTTGCTGCTTTTCCATACGCCACGCATCCGTAAAAGAGATTGGGTCTTATTATCTCTCTTTAGACTTTATTTTTTCATTTGCTTATCTTACCTTAACAATGATTACTATTCCCACTGTTCATATGTTCTGAACTAACTAAACTATATATATATTCTCTGTAGTTCATGTTTCAACTATTCATATGTTCTAACTTGTTAAGCGTATGTATCCACTACACAAGTATTGCCAAATAACGATCATCAGTGATCTTGCAACTATTTCTTATATTTAATTATTTGTTCATAAAGAAGTTTTTCGAACAGTAGTGAAACTACAACAATAAAAATTTATTTTATATTATATTGAATTTTTGGCTGATCATACAGCTGTTTTGAGTATTGCCAAATACCCATCATCAGTGGTCTTGGAAATAATACTTGTATTTAATTATTCGTAAATAATTATTTTTGAGACTGCAAGTACCAGGAATCGAACTCGTGCCCTGCTAAATTTGAAGCTCAGAGTCAGCGCTCTTAAACCAACTGAAACAAAGCCGTACTTGACTTTTTATATTCGCACATTTTGCTGGAGTTTTGTTAATTGACTGTGAAAGTTTTAATAACAAATTCACTTGCTGTGTTTATATTAGAACGAAATCACAAACCAGCTGTAGAATATTTGAATTAATTAATTATATTTTTATTTTTAATTGTTAAGTTTCAATACAATTCTGTTTGTAGAGGCATTATTTATTGCATGATGTTATTTCTCTCTTATGCATAGAATCTAATCTAGAAATTTAGGAATACGGAATATTATTCCACTATTCGTAGAAGCGAGACTGAAAATTAAATATATTTTTTTATTCATATTATTTCCATTATAATTCCATAATAAATATGATTTTGACGTCTATATGACAGTGGTAACTATTTTACTTAACAGAAAGTATTGTATTTAATAGAAAGGTTTCAAAAAGCAGTGAATTTGAAATAGCTTTATGGTCAGTCTAAAATTTAATTAATTAAATAATATAAAATAAATGTTGTTGTTGTAGTTCACTAATTTTCGAAACCTCTTTAACAAGATACAATAGTTTTTATTAAGTAAAATACGAGTAGTCACTGTAGTCATAACTGACATGTTATTGGGTACCAAGTCGGGACTGTAAGTCGAATGACCCATCAATTCCATATTTTTAATACTCAAAAACTGTTTTGTTTGAGCTGATGGGAGAGAACTCGCATTGTCATGATGGAGGAAACTCACTATCTTGCTTCGATAGTGGGTTTTTCCAATTCTTTCAAGACTTTCGGCAAATAAATGGTTATGTTCCACAAAAATTCTACGTTGTTTGGTAAGTGTTACTATTGCAACACAACCGTTTTTTCTGAAAAAATATGTGAAGATTTGCTTGGATTGGTGTCGTCTGCGAACAACTCTTGTCAAGTTCTGCTCACTTTAGAAAATGAGCTTATGGGCATAGATTTAATATTCACGTGTTTTGAGCTACCTCGGGCGTATTTTTTTTATCATTTTCTGACACCAATTCACACGTGTCTTCATTTGTGCGATTGCCAATTTATAAGGAATGCAGGGGAAACCAATCTTTCTGTCAGCTAAATGTATATGTAGAATTGGATGAATGTAGATCCCACTAATACCCAAAGATGTCTTTATCTCTCTCGGTATGTAACATGCTTTTGAACAGATATAGTTTGTAAGAGATATACTTTGTAAAATATACTTTGTAAATGCATAATTTCAAAAGATTGTATATAGTAGTTAGACTGTCTATTGGACAGAGTCTTTAATATGTTTCTTATCTTCAGTAATGTATAAACAAGTTCTTTACTGTAATATATACTGTTGTCAGAGCAGTTTTTAAGTTGTCTTGGCAGTTTTTAATCTTGAATTCCATAAAGTAGCTGAACTGGAACATATTCTCAACATTGTACTAGAGCAGAAATAGTATTAACCCTAAATGTTTTATCTAGTGAAAATGTTTATGGAATCGCAGTGTAGTCTGGTTAATAAACAATATGATTTTAGACAAAAACGCAGCATAGTTGTTTCAATGGTATATAGTTAATATATTGGAAGCTATCAATAATGCCCGATAACTGGCGTATTCAAATAGTTTTGTGAAGTCAGTTTTGTTTTTTAAGATTTTAATTTTTACTTCGATCGTATTTTTTGTACCTTCATCAGAAGAATTTCTAATATTGTGAACTTATCACATTAGACATTAAATATTCAACTAACTAATCTAACCGCAATTATAACACTCAGTGTGGATTAGTACTAATAATACATTGTTGAAACTGAAAACACTTTTTTAAGTAACACAGATAATAAAATCTGATTGTGTTATCTTTTTTCAAAGCTATTGGCTTTATTCATAATGAACATCATTAATATTATGAAATCTTTGTATCTGTTAAACTTCATCTTCAACTAGCAATAATGATGATTTTATTATTGTTAATGAATTTCTCTTTCCCATAAATTCTGTATATCAAGTCATAATTTCGCAGATTTGCGGCATAGATTATAATTTCGTAGTTATACAATATAAATTTTAACTTCATCATCGCATTACAATATAAAATATAATTGCACTTAACACTTGTGTGTATTGTAATTAGAGTTTGATTTTCGAAACTTGTTGACAAATAGTCTTAAAATAAATTAAGTTTGAAAACACAAACAAAAGATATGGTAGTTGTCAAGCGCAGATACATATGCCGATGGCCGCAAATTACAGAATAATTATAGGGAAAACTTGATGAAGGCAGGAAAGACAACAGTTTGTCTAACAATAATAAACAATAGCTTACATTAATTACACAGTTCTACTGTTGCATCAGTTCATGTGGCACTTAATGTTTGTGTGTTTAAAGGATATTATATGTAAGTATCTTAAGGATAATGGATAACATGAAAGATTTAACTCTGCTATACTGTTTGAACACCCACCGCAAGTAAATCAACAAGTTTGTAGGAAACTTTATTCCTTAAATATTCATCATACGCACTGGCGTACTAAATTTATTTAGGCTGCTGACGTACATAATACATAGTATCAAATCATTAATGTTTATATATGTAACATGATTTTTCAAGAGAAAAATTGTGCAATAAAATTCCTTGAATAAAGTTCTCTTTTTATTTAAAATTTATTATCGTTCGATTTTATCGTATTTTGTTTATTTTTGTTGGCATTTGTCATATGGCGTCAAGTGGAGCATAGCAGGCGGTGCACTCTAGTTAATGTGGACAGTAGCCAACTGGCCAACTGGCCAAAGACCAAAAGACACTAAACCCAACAGCAATAAAATATTACAAAACAGTCAAAATAATAATGTTATTGTCGCGAATATTACCAAACAGTACATGGCTACCCGGATTGGTATATTTCATTGAAATTTAGTTGAATATTTATACACTATATAAGCACTAAGTTCGAGTTGACTTTTGGCATTTCAATTGTTTTCAAAGTCAGAAACTACATCCAAATACATGTAAGCCAAAACTTTATCAAGATAATAATAAAAAAATTACTGGAATAGAAAATTAAAATAGTGTGTAGAGGGGAAGTAATAGTTTTTCCCACATGTGGTCATGGGTCCTTTATATTACTACTATAAATTGTACAGGAAACTGTAAACAATGCAACAAAATTGTTACTTTTTGTGTCGCCTTTTTTGTGAAAAGTTATTTCATGATTATTTTATGACGTTTTTAGGTCAATAAAATGGTTTGTTACTTTGTTCACGTATATTGTTTATATCAATATAAAATTTATCATTAAAGTTTATAATTGAAATCTTTTTTTTTTACGATATACTAATATAGTAAACCCAGAGTTGTGTTTATATCGCGATTAATATATCAGATACTTCAAAAAATACAGCTAGAGTTATTTGTATAAAAATACGTTCTTTACGAGGTATACAGAAATATGCTATAGGTTTTTTCTTATACAAAAATAAATAACGTTTGTTGATAAAAAGTATATAATATTTAGTTTATTAATTAGTTGTTATTGCTCTTGAGCTCAATATTGCGTAGGTCAATAACCTTAAAATAAAGGAATTGAACAAATGAAAAAACCAAAAATAAAATTTTATTTTTTATTTCATTTATTATTTTAATTAATTATAATTTAATTTCATTTAATTTTTGGTTAGAACATAATATTTAATTTCAATTACACTGTATAATAACCTACGAATTCTGTTATAATGGTTGGAAAGCAATTTACTCTATGGTCGTATATAGTTCTTTTGTTATTGGAAATGTTATTTGATCGAAATAGAATTGTTTTAAAATTATCAGATGATAAATATATTTTCAGGAAATTCTGAAAACATTTCTTATATATCGCTTAACTTCACTTAAATTTAGACATCAATACATTAAGATACTTGTACTTTAAGGCCACTTCTAAGGACTTCTAAAACGATTTATAAAACAACTATTTTTCTTTAGTTTTTAACCTCATTATATATGTTAGCTTTTGCAAAATCTTAAGAATTAGTATTTTGTACTATTCACACAGCTTAGTTATCGTAAGAGTTTTTGGCTTTAGTACAAAATCGTCTGCATATATAAAAATATTTATTGTCACAAAGACAATTGCTATACGATCTCATAGAATTTGTATTGTTATTAAAATATTATATGATATTAAAACACCTTCACTGGGTTTTGTTACTAGATCGTGTTGGTGTTCATATATCTAGCAATAATAATCCGATTACATCAAACAAACACGTATTCAGAGGTGATATTTCAAAGTTTAACTTTTTATAAAACATTTCTGAAATTCGTTACTTAAGTAAGAAATAAAATTGATTTGAAAATAAATGCAATATATAATGTAATACACTATGGGTTCTTCACTACTATAAAACTGCTACAAAAACGACGAAAAATATGTGTGGTTTATGGTGAGGATGCGCTTAGTGAACGCTGGACCCGAAAGTGGTTTATTCGATTTTGTTCTGGAAATTTTAATATCAAATATCCAGCTTAGTTAATCATTATTATTATTACTAAAAGAAGGGATTGTATACTGTGACCTAAAAGATCTATTGTCTAACTTGGGTTAGACTGTTTCTCCAAGTCCGATTTCTTTAATGAAAGACAGTATAGGGCCTATCATTGCTAGTCTTGAATCTTTATGATCCATGAAATACTCTCCTAGGTGTTTCTTCCGCTTGTGCATCAGTGATGGGCACTCCCCAAGCCCAGCACTCCTAACTTCGATTAGTAAATCACTTAAAATGTTAAAAAAATTATGCAACTATGGAGTTGCACTAGACATTAATGATACGATGGTTTGAAATCATTAAATATAAGCAGGATACGCAAAGACGCTTAATGCTTGGATATCACATGCATTAATGCAAAAAAATTTGATGGAATGAATTATCATCATTAAAACTCTACTGAAACGCAATAAAATTCTTAACAATTTTGAAACGAATCATAATGGGCAATAAAAATACTAGAATATTTAAGACAACATCCAATGCAAGTAATCATGGTCAAAAGCAGGAAATTCTCTGCAAAAGCCTAGATTAATGCTCAACATGGTTACGTTGAGTATTTTGGGAGAGAATTGTTTAATATGGTTTAGTTTAGGTTAGGTTATACCGGTGATACATAGGGAATCCACTTAGACCTTTTAGAATCTTCTGCGTAGCTTAGAATGCTGTTTAGTGGGAAGTCTTGTAATTGATCAAGATACTTAAGAGAAGTGAGTCCTGAAGCGTTGAGTCGCCGTCGTGCATGAGCTGAGCAATTTAATAA